CACACTCTCCTGTGTACATGTGGTTGGTTATGTACACTCTGTCCACCAAAGGACTCCACATCCCGGTTCCATTTTCTAGTGCCTACAGGGAGTCTGCTTGCCTTGCACTAAATTTAAGCAGGGGTGGCCACATCCTCAGACTCCTGGTAGGCAACTCATAGCCTTTTGTTTATTCTGTGGGGCAGCCCAAGACAGTTCATGTCCATGGACCTGCGAGATGCTTATTTTCATGTTCCCATTGCCCCAGAGCACAGACACTTCTTAAGGTTTATCTTCCAAAGATGATTCAAGTCCTGCCCTTTGGCCTCTCTGTTTCATTATAGGTATTTTTAAGATGTATGGAGGTGCCCTTGTCTCTCCTGATGATCAATGGCATCATGATACTGCCGTATTTGGACAACTGGCTCCTGTGTGCCCACACCTAATAGCTGGCCATCTGGAACACATCCACTCAATGTAAGGTCAGAAAAATACCAATCAAACCAAACTGAAGGTAGTTCATCTGCACTTAAAGTTCTTCTTGGCAGTTCTCAGTTCACTACATGCTGGTCCACTCAGACAATGTTGTGACAGTTAGCTATATCCACCATCATGAGGTCAAGCATCTCTCTCCATCTACAGAATCTCCTTAGGCCTCCTGAGGACTGGCATCCCTGAAGGCAACTCATCTGCTGGTGAATGCATTGTTGAGATGGCTCATACTTCTTGAAGAGTGGCTTCTGCGCCCAGAGGTGGTAGTGCCAAGTCAAAACAGTGCCTATTGTGGCAGCCCATGTCTCACCACTTGTTATACACCCGGGATCATCAAATGGCAGCCCACTAGCGATTTATATCTGGTACCATCTCATTCTCAAAACCATTTTTCCAGTTACATTAAAATTATGTAGAATCTGAATACCATCCTACCATCAAGACCTACTGAAATGTATAACTACATATAGACAACACACTTGTGCACTGTAGACTTGTGTGTGTGCATGTACTGTATGAATGCATATTATTAGAGTAGGACTGCAGAGTCAATACCTACACAATGTGAGCAGCAAAAAACACTGCTCTCACTATCAGGCTAAACATGAGTGCTGTTAGATCAAGTGTCAGAAAAACAGCAAGGATTGAGACTGTAGCTGTAACTGAGGAGGAATTAATACTGAAAAACAGCATACTTCTGCACAGTTTTAGGTGAAATGACCCAACAGTATTTGCTCCATGAGAATCTGGAGCCAGGTCAAATTTAATTGATGACCCCTGATGACCTTTCCTACTGTACCACTGATTCTTCCCATGCTGTACAGATTTCAATGACTAGGCCATCCTGCTTGTGGCCCCACAATGACTATCGAGTCCTTAGTTCCCACTGCTGTTTCCACAAGTTATCAGAACAACCTAGTGGCTTCCTACATTAACAGATCTGCTGTTCCAATTGAATGACAAGGTTTGGCACTTTCAACCAGATCATCTTTGTCTGTGGGTCTAGATTATCAGGCTCAATCACCAACAGCAGGCATGTAAACCCTTCTGAAAGCAAGAGCCCCCAGCACATTAGTCTTGTATGTGTTGCATGTTTTGGTTGCCAGATGACTGGGTGGCCTTGTGGTTAAATCCAGGATTTCTGCCCAAGGCCATATTACCCAACTTTGTCTTCAGTGCGAGTGAGCCTGGAGAGAGTTCCTTGTTGTGCCTACTATGTGCCCTACAGTGTTATTCTGACCATACAGCAGACATCCAATCCTCAGACCAACTATGTATTTGCTCTGGAGTAAGTCACTGGGGAACTCCCTTGTCTAAGCAGAGACTGGTCCACTGGGTAGGTAAAGGCATCACCTTGGCCAAGACACAGGCTGGATTTCCATCACCCTACTGTGACTTGCCACTCTACAAGGAATGTCTCCTTTTTATGCACCTTATTTATAGGTGTGCTGCTCCAGTAATTATGTCCTGCTGCTACCTGGAAATCACCATGTACTTTCTCCAGATTCTACAAGCTTAACATTCAGCAGTCATAGGACACACTCCGAAGAGTCTTGTTCCTCATGACATTTTTGGCATACATTATCCAGGTGTTACACTCCACCCCAGTGTTTTTTTAGGGGTTCATAGAATGCTAGTTATACTTGTAAGTTTGGTTCTATGAAACCTGAATAGCCACCAGGGTTCCTTGTCATTCTTAGTGAGAAGTTTATAGCAAATGATTCCTGTATGAGAGTGATATTTTATTTATTTTATTGCAAACACTGTGTCATAAGTGACTTTGTTGGAATATCTCCACATGACTTCTTTTTTCTTCCTTTTTTACATAATCTTTCTTGAAACATACTTTGTGATCTTACTGAATTCTCACTTACAAGCTTTTCATTTCTGATTTTTCTGTTATGTGAATGAACTGTTTTGGGATCTTTTCTATGATTTTTTTTATTATTATTATTATTATTATTAGACTATTATGACCATTATTTTAATGTGGTGTATTAGATTTAAAATGTATAAATTATGGTAAAAACATGTGCTCACATATGGCAGGTCTTTAGATTACAAAAACCTGTCCCGCTACTTTGAGTTTTTAGTAATTAATTGACAGTGCATGTACGGTATACTTACATTATTTGTGATATGGAAAAAAATGTATGAAGTAACAAGTCAAATTTTATAAATAAAAAAAATTATCTGAACATAGCAAGTTGCAGTTTTATTTCATTTAATCAGGGTAATGCTGTATCTCCCTGTAGACATGCACTGTCATGCAATCTAGTCCTTTTTAATATGGCAGACATGCTGATGTATCACTGTAGCTAGTAGGAGCAGCTAATGTGGTATCTATTGTTTCTTATATTTGTGGACCTTGTAATCAGTCCTAATTATGATTTTATATAGCTTGTTTGTGTGATGAGGAACAATGTAGTTGAACTCTAATACTTTCTAACACAGGCAGATGCACACGCACAGATAAACAGCCTGGAGAATGATTTGTGATGCATTCTCTGCTGGTGTCAAAGTGAAGAATATTAAAAGTCACATCATAAATAAATCAGTAGAGGACTCACCTCTGTAGTGTGACAGAGAGAAAGAAAGAGAGAGAGACAGACACCTGTATCTAAAGGCCAGTGTGAGTATGACAACAGTTATTGTAACCCCGGAAAGGTCAGACAGCACATCACCATAAACGAAACAAAACAAGGGAGAAAAAAGAAATAAAGGAAGTAGGATATAAATACAAGCAACTGATTGTGGAGAAATTTGTAGGATTCTAGGATTGTAGAGGGTGTGTTACTTTGAGTGTAGTGACTACAGGATTACAAGCACAACTCCACAAAGCTATAAACCCTACGTTAGCCAAAAGGCAAAAAAAGGAAGTTTGGAGATTTGCTGCAAAGCTTTGATAATCTGAAAAAGTCCCAGAATGCAGAGTTACTGTAGGAACCAGGCGCTTCACAGCATGTAGCAGTGTGATGATGTGCAGAGAAACACACATTGCAGGTTAATCCTGCCTCCAGGCAAAGCATCAATCTTTCAGATCTACTAATCAATAATTGATTATTCAGGATTTGTCAGGGTGTGCCTATCAAAGAGAACAACAGCTCTAAGATTTGGAATAAACTACCGGTTAAGATTTTCTTTTAAATGTGTAGGTATGATTATTCACACTTGCATAGCTCTAATACTAATAAATACTGTGGATACTCTGCTCCTCAACATGAGCTTACACACCTACAGACTACTCTGTTGTACGTTTTGCATATACTTGCACAAACTGGACACACACGCGTTTGTTTTACTATCCTTGTGAGGACCTTCCATTAATTATTACTACAGCTAACCAAGGCTAGTGTTGATTAAATCTAAATCTAACCATACAGTTAACGTCATTAACCGAAACGAAACATTTTGGCTCATAGTATTTTTTAAAAACAAAAAAATAAATAACTTTTTAAAAATCAGTTTTCCTCATGGGGACCAACCAAGATATAAAAGCATGCCCACACACACACACACACACACACACACACACACACACACACACGTCCATACACATGACAAGACATTTAGGTAACGTTTAGGAGATGACATATGAATATATGTTTATGTGGATGAGCAGCGCGCAGTGCTTGTGACATTAAAACGCACTCACATACATGCACACAGATGTTCAATCATCTGCCTACACTCATGCACACTAAGTGGCTACATCATACCAGACAGTTGGTGTGTGCAACTGAGAGAAAGAGAGAGAAAGAGAGAGAGAGCACTTGTGGAGATTATTTACTGTAAGGACCTGTGTTCCAGTTAACTTAAGCATCTGATGTTGCCAGGTGCTTAAACAAAGTAAAGAGTGGAACACAATCATAATCATTTGTCTTGGATAGACTAGTTCTATCCAAGTAGAGAAAACCAAAAGTAACAACTCAAAATGTATGAAAATATACTGAAGAACTTATTAAATTTTAGCAGCTCAATATGTTACTGAGGGTGGCATGATGGCGTAGCAGGTAGTGTCGCGCCTCATGGCTCCAGGGTCCCTGGCTCAATCCTGAGCCTGGGTTACTGTCTGTGTGGAGTTTTGCATATTCTCCCCATTCTCCTCCACATCCTCCTCCACATCCCCTCCCCGAAACATGCTGGTAAGATGGATTGGCTATGCTAAATTGTTCATAGAATGACTGTGCTATCGTGTGTGTGCATGGTGCCCTGCAATGGCCTGGCATGTATTCCTGCCTCACAGCCAGTTTTCCCAGAATAAGTTCTGGATCCACTGCGACCCTGACCAGGATAAAGTGCTTACTGAAGATGAATGAATATTCATTCTTAGTAATAATAAGGCACAATACTGTTGTTGTTGTTCTTCTTCGTTCAGCTGCGCCACAGCAGATCATTGGTCTACATATTTGATTTAGCACGGTTTTTACGTCGGATGCCCTTCCTGACACAACCCTCCCCAATTTTGTCCGGGCTTGGGACTTTACTGGGAGTGCACTGTCTTGTGCAACCCCAGTGGCTGGGGTCTGTTCCCTGGCCGGGAATCGAACCCGGGCTGCGGCAGTGAGAACGCCGAGGAATAACCACTAGTCCTCCAGGGACCCAATAAAGCACATTTATTGGATCTTAAAAATAGATAGAGGACATTGGGTGTGAACAACCATAAATGAACAGCTACTACTGAAAACAATTCAATGTATTCTAACAAAAAAAAAGTCACTCAGTTGATGAAACCAACCACACAAATACAGAGAAAACCTGTAAAGATTAAACACCATTTTAGAGCAGACACTGGAACTGTTCCACTTTATGCTCCTTTGCTAATCAATATACAAAATACAATATTACTGCTGTTTTGTGCAGTCTATAGCCACAATCAAAACATCACATTAGCTTTATTTCAATTTGTAGTCAGAAGTAAAAAAAGACAAAAATCGCAATGAACTGATATCTAGTTAATCAGTGCACAGCAGGCTATTGTAATGAAGTTTTTTTTTAAATATCTGAATTATCTGAATCTAAACTAATTGAATCTGAATTTGTGAACACTAGAAAAAAATATATATGCTTGATGCTAGATGTAAAAAAATTAAAATTAATCTCTAAACAAACTTTTAATTTCAACAAAGGCAATAAAAAATTACAAATATGTGTTTTTCAGAGTAATATATTTCAATGTTAAGAATTCACTGGCTCTTCAAATTCAAATCTTCAAATCTCTTTTAAAGTGCTAAAGTGCTACCTACTACTGAGCATAGGCGTAACTTATAAACTATTTGGTGTTTAGTCTTATTTTTTGTGTGTTTTTTTTTATAATTTAACAGTCAATTTAGATAGTTGCAGGGTACACAATAAGAAATGGTGGCTGGTGGTTTTTAAAATAAGGGAAGCACAGGTGCCTGTTATTGAATTATATATTTCTGTGTTCAGTTTTATCTGTGTCTTCTTCGGCTTGGAGTCTCTGTTATCTGAAAATCATTTGCTGCTGATTTTAAAGGTCACCATGAAATTGTTGTGGATGTTACCACACAGGCACCCTAAAGATGGCTGTGGATGTTGTTGCTAAGAACAGTTTACACTCAAGTCTCAATCATTGAACGGTCGATAACTTCGGTTCGATACAATAGACTTAATGTTAAAACTCTTATGATGCTCATACTCAAGTTCCTTTTAACACACTTTGCACTGCTCGACTATATAGTATACAGTTACAGAAGTGTAATGATTTATTATCACACTATTCGGAGTCACCCAGATCAGGATGGGTTCCCTTTTGAGTCCGGTTCCTCTCAAGGTTTCTTCCTCACATCGCCTCAGGGAGTTTTTCCTTGCCACTATCGCCTCTGGCTTGCTCATTAGGGATAAATTTCAGTTTAATTTTTTTTATATCTGGATTTCTGTAAAACTGCTTTGTGACAATGTCCATTGTTAAAACTGCTATATAAACAAAATTAAGTTGAATTTGTTGGTCTGGCCTCCTGTTCACTTCTCAGTCTTTCCTCATAAGTAAAAGCATCAAAAGACTTTTCCAGAATCAGGTCAGTGAAATTAGCAGCGTTAACCAGCTAAGCTGCTAATTAGCTTTGTTTAACTGAAGACGGTAGTGACAGTGAGATATCTAGACCTACAAATAACCAAAAAACAAAAATAATTTTAAAAATCCTTCATACTTACAATTTATTTATGATGGATAATAATTACAATGCAAGTTATATAATATATATACAATGCAAGTTATAACAAGTTATACTAGTTGTATAAAACTGTTATAGGTACAGATACAGATTGCTGCAGAGCTCCGACGTCTCAGTGATTCTGACTGGCACCAGTATGTTTGAGATGTCAGTCATGTTTATTACCGTTTCAGTGATTGGCAGCTGGTTAAGTTTCAGCCCCTTTGAGAGAACTTATAATCATCATATGGAGAAGCCATGCATCTGAGTGGGACAAGCAAAGAGCGCACTGTCCAATAAACATTGAGCGTGAGCCACCCGCCCACACTCCCATTCACCTCCCGAGACACATAACATCCAGGCAGGACTCAAAATGACACATTAAAAGCCTGTTGTCCAATTAGTGTTAATCTTTCCTCCCGTTAAAACACATTGTACTTAAAACTTCCATAGAAGCCCATAGAAGCCATGCTTCACTGAGTTTCTATAGGCGCTGTGTTGGGGGGGCTTCAGAGGAGATTTTCACTCAGGCTGCTTTGTACACTAACAACAGTTTGCATTAAATGAACAAACAGCGTAATATTGCAGTGAGAGATTTGATCATTTTGTTTGCTAAAATTTTGAAATTCACAAAGACTGATGAAAAATATAGACACATTTCTACCTATAATATAGAAACATTTCATTGCCACATTTTAATGAAATGTTAGGGGAGGTGTGTGGTCTTAAATTGGCTGTTCATTAAACATATAGCTATGCGTTGCTCATGCTTATAGTCAGTAACAATCTTTGGCTGTCCAGACGCCATGGGGTGACATCACAAAATGGCCCCACCCACTAGAAACATGATTGGTTAATTTCACTGTCATGTATTTGTTTTGGTTCCTTAATCAGCCCAGTATGGTCCTGAGCAATGCGTGAGCTAGAACTGAGACCGTAATGAGACTATTATTTCAGTACATGCATCGAGATCTGTGATTAAATAAAACAAGCATGATGGCTGATGAAGTAATAATTCCTTAGGCTTTCTGTAAATTTCCTCTGTGTGTGTGTGGGTGTTTAGTAGACTTGCTCCATGTCCACTGCCAGTTCTCTTTGACCCTGTTCTCTCTCACATGCATGACATACAGGGTTTCAAATGAACCAACTCTCCTTAGAAAGAGAGCAGAAGAAGGAGACGACAGAACGTGTGTCTGTGAGAGAGAGAGATAGAGAGAGAGAGAGGCCGGCCGTGACCATTCATCTATATTTTTTTAACTCTTCTACTCTTTCATTGACTGTCAGAGCAAACGGCGTGCACAGACTGCCTGCTGTAGGTTAGCGTGACCTTTCACTGGCGTGCGTGTCTAATGCTCTTATCTCCCCGAGGAAAGCCGATTATTACCCACCTCACACTGGAAGATTGACAGGTGTGAAAACAGCAGGACATCAGAGGTGTACAACGCAGTGATCAGCGTAGCCTTTAAATTATAAAAAAAAAACAACTGCTCCTGTATCATCAGGACAGAGGTTATATTTTTAATCTTTTATCACACACTGCTCATGTCTTCCCAGAGCGAGAGCCAGGGTCCCTCTCTCAGGAAAAAAAAAAGGAGAAATCTGAAAGAGGCACATTAGACGCTACCTTGAACAGAACAGACGAGCTGGCTGCAGGGAAGTGACGAGGGAGAAATTAATTAACGTTGGGGAGCGTAAACCGCCTAAGGGACAATGGCTCGCTAAATCATTGAAGTTCTCTGGCTCACACCATGTGACCAGCCAGCAGACCCACGGCACTTAGCAGCACATAAAAGCATAATGAGATGTCTATCATTTCAGTTTAGATGTCTCTTTCTGTCTCTCTCACTCACTCGGTCTCTCTCTCACTGTGTGAACTGGGCCAGCAGGGATGTGATATTGGAAATCCCTTTTGGGAATAGCAGAATGCTTAGCAAAGGCGTGTTCAGGATGACGGATCACTGTGCTTGTGCTTTTGCACATTTGATATAAATCACTCTTGCCCTATGTATTAGCACACAGATTATATGAATATACTGTGTAGACTATTGGAGATTGACTAGAAATGCCATCTTGGTTTATGATACAGGGCCAAATGTACGACGAAAAACAACCCACTGTCCCAAGAGCGATTAGGCTTTTCACTCACCGAGTTCTGCGTTTCTGACTGAAAATTAAAAAGAGTGAGCTGCTAGCGACAGCATCTGTCACTGCCCTGCTTTTTACAACATGCCTGCACTCTCTTCATCTTCAAAATAACAGTACCATCCACCCACATATTCTGGATGTTGTCACTTTCAATTGCCCTATTCTGACAACTTTGTAGATTAAAGCTTCCTTTTTAAATGGCTGGTCTTTGCCAGATGATGATCCTTCTTGATGAGAACTGCAGTGCACTGAGTTCAGCTTTGGTGAGTTTGTGAGATTGTGATATGACACACACATAAACATACACGCCGTGATTGACAGGAATGTTAAGACATAAGCTATTATTAACACCATCAAACCTACATAGCCTGAGACACACTTCTTCAGTCACTCACTCACTCTTATACACACTTCCAGAGGAAGAGAGAATGACTGAGTAAAGGATACTAATAGCCTTCACTCACAGTGCTGCTCATGAATAAAGCACCTGACAGAGAATAGATCAGGCACCTGTTTTTAGAGAGGTTAGAGCCGGCCATTTTTCATGTTCATTTTCAATTCTTCTAGTAGCCTAATTGACATTGACTGAATAAATTTAAATTAACTTAATTCAACTAAAAGTGGGTTTTTTTTCAGTTGCGTCGAGGAGGGCAATGATAAGTAGAAGGAGTCAGAGAAATGACACAATATCCAGATTTCATGCAAAAATTGGAGTTTTTTTTTTAATTGAGTGAAGATCATAAGTAAAGTGAGCTCTTCTCTAACCTTAACCATCCACACATTGGCACAAACCCATTTTATAACTACTCCTTAACAAGATGACTGTGATTAGTCTGTATCAGTTTGACTATTTTTGCTATCAGAATGATATTCTAAAAGTGTTTGAAGACCTCTGCGGGGAATATTTGTTGTTTATTTGTCTGGAAAAAGGAAAGTCATTTACAGCTCCGCAGCTTGAGCCATATTGTCTTAATTTAGAAAGCAAGGATTGCTTTGCCAAAAACTGAACAGAAAGACATTAAACCAGGAATAAACAAAAATGCCTGCCGATTTCCGTCTTCAGTTAAAGTGTGTTCATGATCACAAGATTAAAAATGATGTACACAAAATTAAAATGATGTACACAAGAAACCAGTGCTGACCTCTCTAATTACCGTCAAATCTCCAACACGTTGTCTACAATTTTGGAGAAAGTTGTCGCCCAAAAAGTTGTGTTCCTTCCTGAAACAAGAATGATGTATTTCAGACTGGAAGACTTGTAATACAGAATTAGAAAATGAAAT